CGGAGAGAGGTGGAAGCTCCTTCTTTGGAGGCTTTTAAACAGAGGCTCGATGGCCATCTGTCTGGGGGTACTTAGATTGTTCTTTTCCTGCATGGCAGGGGGTTGAACTGGATGGTCCATGGGGTCCCTTCACAACTCTATGATTCTATGCTTTTAAATACATATAACTCAGCGGTTCTTAACCTGGGGGTCGCGACCATTTCGGAGGGGTTGCAAGGCCGCCTCCTTTAGCCCCTCCCCCAATGCCGCGCCCAGCTCTCCTCGTATGAAGTCTCCCTCATCTGGGCTGCAGTCCCACCTTCCGGCAAGGCCACAACCAAGCCGAGGCCTCTCCTCGCATGAATGCTCCCTCGGCTGGGCCGCGGTCCCCCCTTCTGGCAGGGCCGCGATCCATCTGGCGGGGTCTCCTCGCAAGGAGACACAGAGTTAGTCATGGGGGTTCTGTGTACCAAGGTTTGTTCCAATCCTTCGTTGGTGGAGTTCAGAGTGCTCTTTGATTTAGGTGAATTATAAATCCCAGCAACTACAACTCTCAAATATTGAGGTCTATTTTCCTCAAACTCCTCCACATTTGGGTATATTGAGTATTTGTGCTAATTCTGGTCCAGATCTATCATTGTTTGAGTCCACAGTGCTCTCTGGATGTAGGTGAACTCAGAGGCGACCCTAGGTAATTTTCAACAGTAAGCAAACAGTATTTTGACCCCACACCAAACCAATCACTGATATATATATTTCCTGTTCGTCATGGAAGTTCTGTGTGCCATATTTGGTTCAATTCCATCATTGGTGGAGTTCAGAATGCTCTTTGATTGTAGGTTGTAGATTGCTCTTTGATTGTAGATTGTTACATCCCAGTAACTACAACTCGCATATGTCAAGGTCTATTTTTCCCCAAAAACGCCTCAAGAGTGCCCCTGGGCAAAATCAACTATACTGCAAATGCTTACTTTGCATAATAAGTTGAGCCGCCCCTGGGTGAACTACAACTCCAAAACCAAAGGACACTGCCCACCAAACCCTTCCAGTATTTTCTGTTGGTCATGGGAATTCTGTGTACCAAGTTTGGTTCAGTTCCATCGTTGGTGGAGTTCAGAATGCTCTTTGATTGTAGGTGAACTATAAATCCCAGCAACTACAACTCTCAAATGACAAAATAAATCCTCCCCAACCCCACCAGTATTTAAATGGGGGCATATTAGGTATTTGTGCCAAATTTGGTCCAGTGAATGAAAATACATCCTGCATATCAGATATTTACATTATGATTCATAACAGTAGCAAAATGACAGTTATGAAGTAGCAACGAAAATTTTTTTATGGTTGGGGTCACCACAACATGAGGAACTGGATTAAGGGGTCACGGCATTAAGAAGGTTGAGAACCACTGATATAACTGTACATCAAATGTTTGTATCAAATTAAAAGCTTTTAATCACAGTGCTATTTCTATTATCAACATTCTTTACTAAATTAAAACCCTCATCTGAATGACTTTTTAAACAACATTGAAATTTACAAACCTGAGACAATGGCTCCTTCCCAGCACAGTTGATCCCTCCAATCATGATCATATTAGGCATCAGTGGTTTGGGATAACTAAAAGCAAAGTCCTCTCTTATCAGCCACACAGATCCATTACTTACAAGTTCAGAAAAAGTCATATCCCTTTGCAGAAATTCAGAAGCAAGCTTTGCATAAGGAGAGTAAACAAAACTACAAAGGAAGAACTCTGTAAAATGGAACAGCATATTTTTCACACGTTGCAGAAATGTCATATGATCCGAAAATCTTGTGAGACCTCTTGGAACATAGGAAGGAGGCCTTGGACACTGAGTAGCTTCAAATTCATATCCACATGGAATTCCTCGCAAGAAAAATACCGAAGGGATGTCAAAGTACTCTGCAACAATCTGGCCACAGGGCCAGAAAGGATCCGTAAGAATGGCATCAAATTTGCTCTCTCTGAAATACATTCTCAGTTCCTCATTATACAGTAAACGTTCACAACTTCCCAGGAAGAAAACAGATGTCTTTTTCATGTGCTCAATTGTATTAGCAATCATAAGTAAAAAAGGAACATCATCAAATGCCTGACCACTGATGCCTCGAATATTTTCATCCATTTCTTCAGCGGTGAAGGGGACTGGATATGTTTTTAAGGTATAGAGATCCTCTGCTGGTTTGATGTGCATATTTACTTCAGGTGCAACGATTACCAATTCATGCCCATTCTGCCTGAGTTGTTTTAGCATTGGTTTCATGCTGAGCCAATGACTTCCATCCATGGGGATCACTAGAAGTTTCCCGCCAGAAGCAAAATTCAAACTAGCCAGGACCAGCAGAATCACGCTGGAATAGAACACGGGAGCCATCTCACTGTTTTTTACGCTTTCTTTGCAAATGCTGGGTGTATCCTAGTAGCTATACAAGTCATACCAGCAACCTGTATCAAAGATCATTCCAAGCTGGCCTTTTATGCCCTCTTTATGTAACTGTTTAAGCAAGTCAAACATTAACTTGTGGGAGAGGCCATTGCATAATATCAATGAACAGGTTTGATAGGCAGGTGGCTCATCGAATTTGCAGGATCTCCCTTTAAAGAACATTTTGCAGAGGGTCTAAATGGGAGAACTTTGTGGGCATGACTTTGGCCTTCCTTTCTGCCTGCCCTCTTTCCTGTCCCAAAGTCTCAATCTCAATAGGCTCTATTCTTCATGCTATAGACATGTTAGCCCATGTGATACCCTTTCCATAGCAACAAGTTTCCATGAAAACATTTTCTTAAAGTTGATATTTATAAAATATATGTTCTTCCATAGGTAAAACAGTAAGATCGTGAGATCACTTCATGACAGATAGGGAATATTCATTTTGCCAACCTGCAACACTAAAAGTGTGCAGGATCCTTCCATGTGACTCCTCATATGGATTCCATGTTGTGGACACAGACTTTAGAAGAAAGTATGTGGCTCCATCTATAATGACACTATAACACAACTTCAAGACACCACAAAACAATGGTGGCCATAAAATGCATACCACCAATGTATGTTGCAGCACACATTTATGTGTATGTAGATTCAGCCAAAAAATATGCTGAAGCAGATGTCAGTGTATCCCAGTTACACTGACAAAATTGACTTCATCCCGCTGAAGTCAAATTATAGACTCCTGGAGGGAGGTTGCCAAAAAGTACCCCAAGGCCATGGCTGTGCAGCAGGTTACCCTTGGCTAATTGATTACCTAATTCACTTCACTTTATTTCTTAATTAGTCGCCCTTCACTAAGGTGCTCCGAGCGACTTACAATTTAAAATAGCATTTCACAATATAAAAACATTCAACATAAAAACATTCAATTGTGACTATTTGGCAAATTAGATCTGATTACTTAAATGCACAACCAAACAGTCATGTCTTGAGCGCTTTTACAAAAGGTCGCAACTCTGACATTGCTCTAATGTATGGAGGCAATGAGTTCCACAGAATTGGAGCATAGGTCGAAAAAGCTCTACGCCTTGTAGCTTCCAGGTGTACCTCCCTAGGGCCCGGTATGTATAGGAGATTTTCCTGGGTGGATCGAGGTAACCACTGATGGAAAAAAGGAATGAGGCGGTCCCTAAGATATAAAGGTCCTTGGCCATTTTGAGCTCTAAATGTCAGGATCAGTATCTTGTAAGAGATCCGATGTTTTATTGGTAGCCAATGCTAATTGATTAACTTTCCTTTTTGGTTTCACTCCATATGCTTCTGAAGCCCTGTGACACAGCTCTCCTGATTTGCAGGAGGCACAAACTTATTTCATTAAGCCAACTAAATGCCTCTTTTCCATTGAATTTTAACACACAACCTCATCTGAATTGCCACACATCATGACAAATTCAGTGATACCCATCAGGGGTGTGGGGAGCCCATCGTCTACACCCCACATCACTTAACTCACCTGTTGTCCCACCCAACAAGGGGAAGCTTCAGCTGCCCGGCTTCCCCCATTGACTTGACATTCATCATGGGAAGCCTCCAGAATTGCCGCTGCGGTGTCATAGGCTGGTTTGCTTATACTTTTGCAACAGAGCCCCACCGGAAGTTGCTTTATGTTGTGGGATGGGAGCCGGAGGGCTCCGTTGTAAAAGTATAGGCAAATTGATGCATTTCCTACCAAAAATGTCTCTTTCTTTCTTCCTGGTCCTTTCATTTCCCTCCATTCTGCCTCATCATTGTATTTTTTTTTAAAAAAAATTAAAACCCTCTAATAGGTTTACATAAAACATTGAACAATCATGGCAAGAAGTAGGTGTTTACACAAAAGGCAATTGGGAGCTACCGTCCCACAATCGTTAGAAGGTTAAGTAATCCTTAACCATGACCTAAATGTCTATCATAGGGGACCCGAAGAAGGCCATGTAATAAGGAAGTCCCACCTTCTGCCAACTGCTAGCACCTGGCCTTAATGATTGTATTTATGTTAATCACTAGCAATAAGCCAGGGCAAAGTGTGGTTGCCAAAGCCCACCATGGGTTTTAAAAGGTTTATTTATTTATTTATTTACTGTACGTATACCCCATCCTTCTCACTCCCAAAGGGGGAGTCAGGGCAGCTTACAAACTATGGCAATAATTCCATGCCAGATTCAGTAAAACACAATATTATACTAGATCCAAGGTGGTGATTGTTTTTGTTGGTCCAAAATGTCTAGATATTATCTCTGAGGGTACATGAGCAATATTTCCACCATGTTTGAATAATTCCAGGTAGCAACATTAAAAAACCAAAAACAAATCAAATTCTATTCTCCCTATAAATGTGCCCTAAAATGTCCCCTATGGTTCCAGAAAGACCCCAAATCATGTACTCATGATGTCTAAATTACATTGAGAGCATTTAGGGGCAAAAACTGTTTTTAATTAAAATGCAGGTGCAGGGGAGTGTACAGTGTAGCCTTCCAGGGTCTCCTGGTGGGCTAATGCACCTTAATTTTCCACAATTTTCCACCTTTATAATGCACATATTAGCTGTGGAGAACCCAGTCCCGTTGATACATAGCACCTACCTGTGACAAGTGTTTACCTTCCTCACAATTTATTCCTCCAATGAAGACCATGTTTGGCATCACAGGCCTGGGATATTCAAATACAAAGTCATATCTCAAAAGCCAAATAGAGCCATTTCTATAAAGTGTTGGTAAGTGTACTTCTCTCTGGAAAAGTTCTGAAGCAATCTCTTGGTATCTTGAGTACAGAATTTTAAATAACGATGTCTCCAAGAAGCTAATGAAGAGGTTCAGCAGTCGCTGACTGAAGGTCATATGATCTGTGTATGAAGTATAACACCTTGGGACGTAAGAAACTGGATCTGGACACTTGCTGACTGCTAACTCTAAATTGCATGGGAATCCACGAAAGAAGTACACAGAAGGAACAGAGAGATATTCAGCAAGGATCACACCGCAAGGCAAAGCAGGATCTGTGAAAAGGGCATCAAATCGATTCTCAGCTAGGTACCTCATGAATTCCCTGTTCTTCAGAAGGATGTCACAACTAATGGACTGCATCTCAATTAGTTGTATCAAGACCCTATATGCACCTATAATCATGGCAGGAAAAGAAACTTCTTCAAACGGGCTGCTACCAAGCGAGTTTAAACCTTGGACAAGATCATCTTGAGTAAATGGCACTGCATATTTTTTCACAGTGTAATACTTTGATTCCTTGATCAGGAGGTTAACCTCTGGGACCACGACAACCATCTCATGACCTCTTTCAGCGAGCTTCTCCACCACGGCCCGCATGCTGAGCCAGTGACTTCCATCCACAGGAATCACCAGGACCCTCTTTCCCTCTCCAAAGCAGATGATGGCAAATAGAATGAGAAAATAGATGGGAAATCCCCGACGGCATGTGAAGGGGTGGTCCATCTTCAAGGACAGACTATAACCTCTCTGTTACACCAAACAGAATATATATGATTCTTGGGTGGCCTTTGCTAATGATTCAGAGATAATTGCAAAAGCAATAAGCTAACTATTAACTATCCAAAGTGCTCCTTTTGCTGACGTAGCAACACTGATTTAATGGGATGGAACAGGACTCAACCTCTTCAACTGGGTGACTATCTAGGCTTTGGGGCATTAAGGCTTCCACATGACCAATGCATAGAGAGCAAAATATCGCTAGACAGTTACCTTCATTTTTTAAATCAGTACTTTAAGTTTGTTCATACATAGCAGAATGAATGGTTTTCCAGGTAAATTTGATGCACCACTTCTGAAATTATGTTTAAATAAAAATTAGAATCATTCTTTAAAATTTATTATTATTGGTACCAAGCCGAGAATGCCAGATGACCTCCAAGGCATCTAGTGGTTGACCATACAATAATAATTGAGTTTCATTGTTATTACTGGTAGATCCACAAACAGTTCCTAAATTTGGATCTCATCTGCTAAGTTGATTAGCAATGTCGCAAATAAATAAATAAATAAATAAATAAATAAATAAATAATATATACAGGCACTTCCCAGGTAGGTCTATCCTTATGTGGAATTTGTATGTAAGTCAGAACAGGCCCAGTGTGTTAGTGCACAGTGGGAGAACCTGATTCCCCAGGTTTGCAATGGAAAGAGGCAAAAAGAAAATGGAAGTGTTGGCCAGGGGCTGCTCAGTCATTAGCGCTTTCCCTTCTCCACAGGATGAATCTATATCAAAACCCATAATTTTACTTCCCTTCCCCAAAGCTCAAACTTGTGTTTGACTTGTACATGAGGTTGGCATACATTTCTCCTCAAATCTCAAGAGGGACTGTGTGGATGGGTGGGAGGAATGAAATTATGAATTTGAGTTTTCTTCTGTAATAATTAATAACGTACGCAGGCCTGTAACCAAGGGGGGGGGCAGGTGTTCAAACTCCCCCCCGAACATTTTCAGGTTAAAAAAAACAACTAGTTTACTCATGAATTTTAACTGCTTAACCATACCCCCAATGCTAAATGTATGAGAAGCAAAAAATTAAGTCTCTCCAGAACTGCAACCAAATTTTGACCATTTATTTGCATTGTCGTTGCCTACCTTTCACCAATTTAGATTGCAATTGCTGCAAAAGCCTATATAGTGGAAACAACCAAGTTGGCCCACCCACAACTAGCAGGCAAAGTCTAAGGAGCAGGAGGGAATTTGAAGCCCCCCCCCCCATAAAGAAGACCACGGGGTGGAGCTGCAGGCTATTTAAGGATGCTTTGCCCCCTTCAGCTTGTGGTAGGAGGCAGGTTCCTAACGGGAGAATAGGCCTTTCCCTCCTTGCTCTATCTTCTCCCCCCCCCCCCCGTGGAATGACCAGGGTGGAGCTAGGTGTGAATGTTTCAACTGATCACCTTGATTAGCATTTGATTGCCTGGCAGTGCCTGGAGCAATCTTTTGTTGAGAGGTATATAATATGGTCTTTCCACAGATATATAAACCCATTTCCCTAGTTCCAACAGACCTCACTACCTCTGAGGATGCTTGCCATAGATGCAGGCGAAACGTCAGGAGAGAATGCCTCTAGAACATGGCCATATAGCCGAAAAAACCTACAACAACCCAGTGATTTCGGCCATGAAAGCCTTCGACAATATATTGACACAGTTCTCAAGTATTTCCAACAGATGTTTGGTACTCTTTTGTAACTACTTTTGTAACCACTTTTGTAAATCATATAATTTAAATTGTATGGACCTATTCTTCATGATTCGCTTAAAAATGTTTCAAACCCCCCCTCCTCCCAATTTTTCTGGTTATGGCCCTGCACAGTAGCATGTTGTATATACATTTTAAAATGTTAGAATTAACAAATTGAAGTAAATGTGTACTTGAGATTAAACCAACACCTTACAAGGGATATGGACACATACATAAATTGCAGTAACGAAATTTCATAACACACCACATCCCATGAAAACCTGTCACTGTATATATAGATATTAAATATATGATTTAGTACTTATTTCACATCAACTCAGAGATTTCTCATTATGTTCACAGGGGCGGATCAACCATTACGCAAAGTAAGCCTTTGCAGTATAGTTGATTTTGCCCAGGGGCGCTCTTGAGGCGCTCTTGGGGAAAAACAGACCTTGACATATGTGAGTTGTAGTTACTGGGATGTATAGCTCACCTAAAATCAAAGAGCATTCTGAACTCCACCAATGATGGAATTGAACCAAATATGGCACACAGAACTCCCATGACGAACAGAAAATATATATCAGTGATTGGTTGGGGGGGGTGCCAAAATACTGTTTGCTTACCATTGAAAATTACCTAGGTCCGCCTCTGTATGTTCACATGGTATGCCTACACACTGCAGCTGACATACTAACGTGTTGTGACACATAATTTGGGAATCTCAGATCTACAGCTTCAAATTTTGTTGTTCATTTGTTCAGTCGTCTCCGACTCTTCGTGACCTCATGGACCAGCCCACGCCAGAGCTCCCTGTCAGCCGTCAGCTCCGCCAGCTCCTTCAGAGTCAAGCCAGTCTCTTCAAGGATGTCATCCATCCATCTCGCCCTTGGTTGGCCCCTCTTCCTTTTACCTTCCACTTTCCCTAGCAGAATTGTCTTCTCTAAGCTTTGCTGTCTCCTCATGATGTGGTCAAAGCTTCAAATTATTCAAATAAAATTCAAAAACCAAACCTTGCTTTGTCATTTCATACAAAGGACATCATTTTACTACACAATTATATATAATGTGACTTGTGGCACCACAAATGATTATATCTATGGAGTGTCCTGGAAACAAACCCTAGCAGATACCAATACCAAGGGCCCATGGTAACTAAAATAATCTTTCTTTACATTGTTGTTGTTGTTGTTTATAATATTAACTTAATTTACACCCCACCTTTCTCCTTGTGGAGACTCAAGGCAGCTAAAAATCCACACTAGACAAGTTTAAAATGTGCAATACAATAAATTTAAAAAGCAATTAAATAGTAACAGCATGGTAAAAACAGAATTAAAATATGTTTTAGTGCAAACACATAGCACCATTCTTACACAGACTTTCCTATCTCATGTCTTGTCTATATTTCCCATTCTACTCTACAAGATCTTCCATTAAAAGACACATTTTATGAGAAAAGTGAATGGACATACCTGTGGCAGGGCCTTCCCTTCTTCACAATTTATGCCTCCTATGAAGGCCATGTTGGGCATGATAGGCCTGGGAAACTCGAAAACGAAGTCATAACGCAAAAGCCAGATTGAACCATTTCTATAAAGTGTTGGTAAGTGAACTTCTCTCTGGAGAAACTCCGAAGCAATATCTTGGTATTTGTTATACAGCATCTTAAAAAGTGATGTCTCAAAAGAATTGACAAACAGATTAATCACACGCTGGAAGAAACTCATTCGGTCTGTATGTCTGGTGTAGCACCTTGGGATGTAGGACACAGGATTTGGAGTCTTACAGATTGCATGCTCCAAACTGCAAGGGAATCCACGAAAGAAATACACAGACGGGAGTGCGAGATGCTCAGCGAGAATGACTCCGCATGGCAAAGCTGGATCTGTAAAGAGGGCGTCAAAGTGACACTGTTCCAGGAACTTTATGACTTCTCTGTCCTTCAGGAGACTGTTGCAGTTATCAAAAAACAAGTTTATTACATACATGTTGTTGCGATATTCTTGAAAGATGGTGTAAGGAAAAGAAACCTTACGGAAGAGCGTTGTAGAAAACTTCTTAAATCCAGCATCAAGATCTTTCTGTTTGTATGGTACAGAATACGTTTTCAGAGTGTAGTGTCTTGACTGTTTTAGAAGCAAATTAACTTCTGGCACCACCACCACTATTTCATGGCCCTTTTCACTGAGTTTCTCCACGACTGCACGCATGCTGAGCCAGTGGCTTCCATCTTGCGGTATCACTAGTAGCTTCTCACTGTCAGCAGGGGTGAAAATGGCTAGCAAAGCAAGGAGAAATACAGGCATGCCTGTGGGCCGATGACAAGCAAAGGCCATTGCTCTCTTCCGATGTGTCTTGCAACAAAACTAAACCCTTGCACACCTTATATTCTTTTTAATTTTTAGATCAAGAATATAAAGCACACCTGTTCCTATCTTACTGGTGTTCTGTCCGATAAAAATCGCTAATGATTAATCTATCTTCTTTGACTTGAGTTATTATCCAACTTGGTAGGCATTGTCCTGAGGTGCTCTCAAAATGACGAGGTAAAACTAACAAAATGACACAATCCAGGGTTTGAAGGTGATCCCCAAAGTCTAAAGTTTGTTTAACCTTACTCCTTTCACAATAATTTTGGGTCATCACTGCCCATTTTAAAGGATACATGATGACTTTCATCAAAGTTTTTAATAGAAAAAAACCCACAAATACAACAATAATACAACAAACAACAATATGTATGCATCCATAAACACAGAAATGCTTGAACGACAATTATATATAAAACTACACAACATACATCTCTATTCCAATTACATACAAGTCTAAACTACAAATGTATACAGGCAGTTCCTGAGTTACAAACATCCAATTTACAAACTACTCATTGTTAAGAACGAAACTGATACAACAGAAAGTGAAAACCTACCCGGGGGGTGGGGGTGGGGATCACCCTTGAGAGAGTTATCATGGAGAAAAGGTCTCTCCACTGAAACTTCCTCATCAGTCCTTGCTTCCACAACAAGCAAAATATTCCAAAATTCAGTTCTCACAGGGACAGAATCTGGGGTGAAATCTTCTGAACAGGGGCAGAGACAAAATACAAACACTACAGGAATGTTAACCCTTCCCTATGCTATCCAAAGCTATCTATCTATATCTATCTATCATCTATCTATCTATCTACACACACACACATATACATACATACATAGATATAAAGATATAGATATAGGCAGATATAGATATAGGCAGATATAGACATAGAGATATAAAAATGAGCTGGAGTTACATTTCAAAATGTACCTGTTCTGACTTACATACAAATTGAACTTAAGAACAAACCTACAAAACCTATCTTGTTAGTAACATTGCACATTGGAAACTTAAGAGCATCCCAACTTAAAGTCGTTTTGAGTTAAGAGCTGTCACTCGGGCTGTTTCCTTAACACAAAAGTAGCATTTGAGTTCAGAGCTAGTCCCAGAGGAAGTGCTAGCTCGAGAGTGCAGGGCTTTGGGGCTTCCAGGGAGTAGCCTCTGTGCCTTGTGCTCTTGTCCGCTTTGGGAGATTGCTGCCTGCTATGCTCTCGTCCGCTTTGAGGAACTTTGTGCTAGTTGATTTTGTGTGGTTTTTATTCCTGGTATGTTAGGCTTCATGAAGAGAGAGAGGGAGGGAGGAATGAGTACAATAAGAAAATTATGCTTCTGTCTCTTCACTTTTTGTTTCCTTGTCACAACTTTGTTTCTATCATTTTAAAGTTGATCTTTTTTATTATTTCATGTGAATATGTATTTATTAGGCTTGGGTGATCGTGTTCATTAGTTTCTAAACTCTTTATGGATTCGTATTTAAATTAGCTTACGATCCAATATCGAGCCATGAAGGAATAGTGTGAGGAGTAATTAAGAATTGAAACAATTTCCCAATTTTTCGTAATTATTTTCGGAAGTCTGGTGCAAGTTTTACAATCTTGCCGTTTCTCTTCCCTCCCCGGTCCCTGGCCTCAGCTTAAACCAGGGGTCCCCAAACTACGGCCTGCGGGCCGTATGCGGCCCGCCGAGGGCATTTCTCCGGCCCGCGCAGCCTGGCCTGGCCATGCCCACCCGGCGCTGCTCCGCCCATCGCGGGAACCCTCTGCTCCGGCCCTTATGCTCGTGTGGGAGGGAGAAGCCTTTTGTAGTTTACCTGCCTCCTTGGAGACCAGAGCGGCCGGAGCAGAGGGTTCCTGCGAAGGCCGGAGCGGCGCCGGGTGGGTGTGGCCAGGGAACGCTGGCGTTCTCTGGCCACGCCCATCCGGCGCCGCTCCAACCATCGCTGGAACCCGCTGCTCCGGCCGCTCTGGTCTCCAAGGAGGCAGGTAAACTACAACTCCAAAACCAAAGGACACTGCCCACCAAACCCTTCCAGTATTTTCCGTTGGTCATGGGAGAACTGTGTGCCAAGTTTGGTTCAATTCCATCGTTGTGGGGTTCAGAATGCTCTTTGATTGTAGGTGAACTATAAATCCCAGCAACTACAACTCCCAAATGTCAAGGTCTATTTTCCCCCAAACTCCGTCAGTGTTCACATTTGGGCATATCGAGTATTCGTGCCAAGTTTGGTCAGATCTCATATTGAGTCCACAGTGCTCTCTGGAGGCAGGTGAACTACAACTCCAAAACTCAAGGACAATGCCCACCAAACCCTTCCAGTATTTTCTGTTGGTCATGGGAGTTCTGTGTGCCAAGTTTGGTTCAATTCCATCGTTGGTGGGGTTCAGAATGCTCTTTGATTGTAGGTGAACTATAACTCCCAGCAACTACAACTCCCAAATGACAAAATCAATTTTTTTTTTGAGTGAAGGACATACATTGGGTTGTTAGGTGTCTTGTGTCCAAATTTGGTGTCAATTCGTCCAGTGGTTTTTGAGTTCTGTTAATCCCACACACGAACATTACATTTTTATTTATATAGAAGTGTGGGTCTTTGTTTTTTTTATTTGGGGGGGGGGGTTAGCACTGCAAATAATATATGTGCAGAGTGCATAGGAATTCATTCATGTTTTTTTCAAATTATAATCCGAGCCCTCCAACAGTTTGCGGGACTGTGACCCGGCCCTCTGTTCAAAAAGTTTGGGGACCCCTGCTTAAACGGATGAATTTCCTTTCTCTCTCTCCCCCCTCCTGCCGGGCGGCCACCTTTGCTCTGCTGCTTCCCTCCTCTTTCCTCATGCTTCTTCTTGCCTCACTCTGGGCTGCACTGGGCTTCCTTCATTCCTTCCTTCCAGCTGGCAAATCCCACATTCCCCCCTCCCTCCTCTTTCTCCTGGCATCCTTCTTGCCCAAATTTTCTCATTACTTTATTTTTCATACCCTCACTCTATGCCACAATGCGTTGCCAGGTACAGCTATTATAATATATATATATATAATATAATATAATATACAATTATAATATAATATAATATAATATATAATAATATAATATATATTATATTATTATATATTATATTATATTATATTATAACATAATATATTATTATTATATTATATTATTATATTATTATATTATTATAGTATTATTATTATAACAACAAAAATAGCTAGAAGCACTTAATTCAGTGTATCTACTTCTAGTATCAAGAACTAAAGTCTGTAGCAAATTGCTGTGCCAAAAATGTAATTTAGCAAATAATCCAGATTATCCTGGTATATAATCTGGTATAAGGGAACGTTCAAGCAAACTGCTTCAGAATCACAGGGTTAGAAAACACAAGAAAACATTGGGTGGAAGCAAGGGAAAGTGTTCTCAAAAAACTGTCCCAAGCCCATAGCATGCCCAAAACCAGAAGATTAAGTCAGAATGAAATGTCCATCCAAAAACAATCCGATGTAAGAATCCAGTCTTTAAACCGCTTTGAAACGGCTTGTCTCAACCCAGCTAAACGTCTTCCTTGGCCAGCAGCTTAAAGCTATTCTAATATAATATAATATAATATAATTATTATTAAGAATGGATGGACATCTGTCAGGGGTGCTTTAATATACAATTATATTAATATAATATAATAATATACAATTATAACATAATGTAACATAATAATAATAATATAATATATTATATTATATTATTATATATCATATTACTATATTATTATTATATTATATTACTATATTATATTATTATTGTATATTATATTATATGTTATAATTATATATTATAACTTGAGGAAGTTGATGTAATACCCAATCATTGTGCTCATGAAACATGGTTTGAACCCTGAGGAAGCAATGGGGACCGCCAGGCATGTAGCGGGGGGGGGGGGGGGGCTTGGGGGGCTTCAGCCCCCCCCCCTGAAATTCTCATGGTGGTTTGCGAAAAGGCCTTACTGGTGCATTATTTAAACTGTTATGTTTATTCATATCATGATCTGATCACCATACTCAATATATCCCATATGCATGGGGGTATTGGGGTAATGATACAAAAGGTTTGCTAGAGTAGACCCTCTTTCACTCAGACTCAGCCCCCCCCCAAACTCAGCCCCCCCCGAACCCCCCCGAAAAATTCACCCCCCCCCTCCCCCCGAAACGAAATCCTGGCTACGGGCCGGGGACCGCTACTTCCGCCATTCGGGGAACAGTTGTGGAGTCTTTCCCAATTCTGGGCCAAAGGCTGCCCAGCCTGCGCAACAGGTGAGAGGGCGCTCGAGGAAGCGCACGGGTCGGAGGACTACAGCGCCCACAATGCACCGCGCCTCACCTCGCCTCCGCCTCAGATACTAGGCAAGGCGGGCGGACGCAGAAGGCTGGGGCCTCGCTGCGGTGGAGAGCGGACTACGCTTCCCAGAATCCTCTGCGGCCCGGGGCGGCCTCGGGGAGCCTCGAGGTGAGCCCGGCGGCCTACTGAGGGTGGGTTTGGTCTCTTATCCGGTGGGGGGTGGAGGGAGGAGGGGGGAATGGCGGGCCTGCTCCCCCAGGCCTCTCTCTGTGTGTGTCTCTCTCTCTGGCCGGGCGGAAGAGGAAGAGCAGAAGCCAAAGAGGGGGAGGAATTGCTTGGGGTTGGCTGTTGTTGTTTTTACCGTCGTCTTAGCAAGTGGGGCCCAGTGGAGGCCTGAAGCGGCCCTTGCACCTGTCACTCCTGCTCCTGAGTGAGAGGTCTCTTGCTCTGTTTTCACTTTGGCAAGGCTACACCTTGCCTTATTGAGGCTTGTGTGGAAGAAAAGCGACCAACTTTTGCCTAGTTGTGTTACTTTTGGCCTCTTCCGAAATGAGCCCCATCATGTAAAAAATCCAAATTATCTACTTTGAACTGTATTATG